AATTTTTTTTTAGTAAACAAAACCCTATCATAGTGGTAAGATAGTAATTTATGCAATATTATTTATAAGTCTTAAGTGGAATTTACTAATATTCGATTGACATTGAGGTTTGCTTCTTTTCTTTTCTTTTTTTTTTGTTTTATCTAATTTAGGTTTATTTTTGTCTTAATTGTTATTATTACTTATATGAATTAAATTAATAATTAATAACTTATAAGAATAAAATCAATACTAATTGGGAATTAATATTTAACGGCTAAAACAAAAAATGCAACAGATACTCGTGCAGTGTTGTAAAGAAAGAATATGCTTATCTTCTTTGAGACGAAAATAACGTGCTTAATTATGGTCAAATATTGTTTGGGAATTTTCACTTTCATATGACGGTAGATGGCTTCGCTAAGAAAATTAAAAGATATATGATGCATCAGAGATGATGACATTATATATTCTCGTCTATGCCACTTTAGCTTATATTATGAATTATAAATGGTTAAAGTTCTTATTTTTTTAAAAGGAAAAAAAAGTTGTCTAAATCATTTTTGATCGATATTGCCAATTTTCATCTCTTAAAGTTTTATAAAGTTTTCATTCTATAATTCTGTATACACTCTTTTTTATCCTTCAATTATGAAAATACACTTTTTAATTATTTTATTAATTAATTTATTAAATATATATATATACATATTTTTTATCTGTTAACTTATAATATATTCACATTTTTCATTTTTCAACTTAAAAGTTCATAAACTAAAAATTTATATATATACAAACATACATAATGAATTAACTAACAAAAAAACTAAAAAATTATATTTTTCATAATTAATGAATCCAAAAAATATATAAAAAATTAAAAGATGAAAATTGTATAAAATCGTAAAGTTGAACTAGCAAAATTAGTATTTAATCATCACTTTTTTTCACCAAACAATGATTATTTTATCTAAAGAGAAAAACAATTTACTCTTAATTATTTAAGCATAGAGTTGTATAATAATAAAAAATAATTATCTCATATTACTCAATTATTTTATCAAGTATTTTAAATTCAAAAACTTTGTATTTATACTCAAAAAAAATTATTATTAAACTACTAAACTCTGGTCCACTAAATAATAATTATTGTAATTGATTCTTTTTCTTTTTAAAGCTGTGTGAATTAATATGCTTTCATTAATTCTGTATTGTGTGGTAAATGCGAGCGTAAAAAGATTCTGATATATAACTCTAAGTCGGAAACCGATTGATGAGAAAAGTCATTCCAGCAAATTCTGTAATTGGTGGTACTTTTTTTAAAAATAATACTTTGGTTCTAAGTATATGCCCACTTGCATTTGTCGTTGCTTTTTCTTGTACGCAATTTCCTCGTGAATTTCCAGCTTGTACCAATTCGTTCACGTCGAAGCATAAAGGGGAATGATTCCTGTAGCCGCTGGTATGACACCCGGCAGGTGCACATCCTATGAAATATATGTATATATATTCTTTTTGTTACGTGATATGATTAAATTATTTTTTATATTTTATCTTATCATACTTATATATTATGAATAAATTATTTTTTATTATTTATTTTACCTCATTTATACATCATATCATGTAATTTAAATTTAAAAATTTTTATTTTCAACAAAAAAATACAAATTTTTTATTTTTTATTTTTAACGGAAAAAAAAATAATCACTGAAATATTTAGATAATTAATTATAAAATATATTTTTTAAATTCTTAACCCAACAGCTATTCACGTATTTTTAGCTTATTTATACGTCCAAATAAAATGCAACCGTAAACCTTAACCAAAGAATCATAATCAATTCAACTAAAAAATGAATAAGGCAAGATTATAATTCTAATTTGTTCCTATTTATTGTAAAAACTACCACAAATTTTCAATCTCTGTCATATTTTTTTTTATTTTCTCAGAAATTAAACGACTAACACCACAAAACAATTCTAACCAATCATTTCGAAGCGAACCCAGATTTTAATTACTTTCAAATGAAATTAATTAACAAATTTTCTATAATAATCTATGAATTTCACTAAAAATCAAATCACAGCTGTCGTACAGCATCAATGAGTCCCTGTGGAAGCTTCCTGACAACTGCAATGTCCGGTGGAGCAAATATAAATGCAAGAACTTCGCTTGTACCGAAAAGGGTTTCTTCAAATGCGCCAATTGCTTCAATCTTTTAGATCACGAATTGCCCCGATGGATCAAGCAAGGGAATCTGGACACAGAGACAAACCAAACAGTAGATTTTCTTATCCTTGACGTGCTAGAAATCAAGCCAGGGAAAATCAGAATTGGGTTGGATTTTAGCGTCGGAACAGGAACATGGGTTGCAACAATTGATCTGCGAGCATAAGATCTGCAAGAGAATCAACAACTGATGAGAGCAAAGATTTTAGAGAACCATCCAACATCGTTGGCAACCATGCCGGAAAAAGTGGAGTATGATTTCTTACTACTGATTTTGCTTGGGTCTTTAGACTAGATGGAAATCGAGGAAGGGGGCGAGAAAGAGAGGGGGAATGAAAAAGAAGAAGCACAAGGAAGTAGGAGATGGTTTGGATCGTTGACGGAGGAGATGGTTTGCAATGAAGCCGGCAAGTCTGAGAAGGGTTGGAGAGAAGAAGATGATCAGGCGACGATTGGATTCCAAATGCCCAAATTCCACACCTGATTTTGTGAGTCTCCTTCACAGCTGGAGATCTTTGCTCTGTGATCTGGGTTTTGAACACCTCCCTGACTACCTCGATTTCCTTCGTGACTACGTCTCAAGGGGTTTCATAGATGGGTAATCTGGGTGAAGACTGCAGTGTTAGATCTCACCGATTCATGTGTTTACAGTAGGTGATTTGTGCTGGATAAGTGAGAGATAAGTGTATCAGAGAGATTACCTAGTTTTATTTTTTAAACCAAGCGTGTGTGATGGAGGATGTGGGTTCAGAGGGTAATTGTATCACCATCCAAGCATAAAGCGTAGCAAAGTTATAAAAACATAAAAATTAATTAATTAAATAATTTAATGATAATTTTCTTATTAAAAATAAAAAATTTTAAATTTAAATTGTATAGTATACTAATAGAATAATAATCAAAAAAAGATGAAAAAAAGTTGTTTCTCATTGTCCAATCGATCACAAACAAAATTTGTCTACTATTTTGCTTTTTCTATAAAATAAGAATTTCATAGCAGTTTTATTTTTTTTCTTTATTAGATATTACATGATACTATCAATAAAATAAATATATTATGATTGATAATTTCATATAAAGTACAAATAAGTGCAGATTATAACAAAAAGTATTACAATTACAAAAGGCAAGAAACTTTTAAGAAAACCCATATCCTTGTAATTAATCTTTTTTTTTTAGCAATTAAGAAAACCCATATCCTTGTAATTAATCCTCTTTTTTTTTAGCAATTTAAGTAGTTGTGTATATATTGACAAATTTCACTTGAAAATATTCTTAAATTAAGTTCTTGAAGTATAAGAAAAAAACCATTCCAAATCCATCCTCTAATTATTCAAAAATAAAAAAAAAACCTTTCCCACATGTCTTAATATTTGTATTTAAGACATTTAATTTTAAGATATTAAACTTTTTTCGGTTGAGAGTTAATAAAGAAAGTAGAAAGGAATATCAACTCTAATTTTTGTATAGTTTCATAGATGAAGCAAAACTAACCTGGATATTGTAAACAGATTGAGCTTCTTGATTCTTCTGCAATGGCTGTTATGTGTATATTGTATTTAAACATCAATTACTAAGATGATTGAGAAAGGAAAAAACTACTCATTTCCATTCATCTTTTTTATTGTAATGGGCTTGGACTGCTTTTGGACTGTAGAATCTCGCAAGTCTCAACTGGAATCCCGATGGTATTTCTTTGAGATCACAAAGATTGGGCCTCAAAACTCTGCATTCATCACGGTCCATGAAATTTGAGCTTGATTGTTACATAGTCCACATCTCAACCACTGTAATGGGCCAGTGGCCATGGAAATTTCTCATCTCCACTTTGTTGAAGGAAAAAATATTGGGAGACATTTTTCTTTACATGGGATGGCATTAGTTGTTTTTTATTTTATTTTATTTGTTATTTTGAGCTGCAAATTAGAGTAAAAATTTTCATCTATTAACCTCCCACTCGAATGAGTAGGATTTAAACTCAATATTTTTTTTTTTCAAAAAAAAATAATTACCACTAAACAATTTTAAATCTTTGGCAAGACATTAGTTAATTAATTAATATCAGTAATGTTAGAATTATAAAGTTACGTAAAATTATAAAATTTTAATTATGACATATTATTAAATAAGTAAATATATATAATATATAAATAAATTTATAAAAAAATAAAAAATTATATAATAATATAATTTATTATAAATTTATAATATCACGTCATAAATATAGTATTTACATTATTTTCTAATTAACACTGCTAGCATAATCACCATAATTCACAAGACTCATGCCTAAGCTTGTTTCACAGACAGCCTTTTTTAATGAAAAACCGCAATAAAATTAGCAACCGCAGAGCAGTCCTGGTCCGAAGTAACCAAAACAGAGCAAATATGGCTAGAAATGTTCTTCAGCTCTTAGCTTCTCAATTCATCGTCTTCTTCGTTCTCTCTTCCTTTGTTACAGAAGCCACCCGAATTGATCACGGCTTAGTTAAAGACTGGACCCCAAGCTATTGGGGCTAGGGAAAGAAAAGCTGAGCCATTTTCGCCTCTACTGGCACGACGTTGTTAGCGGTAGCAACCCCACTGCCGTTCCGGTGGTGCCGCCCGTTAACTTGACGGTGAGAACTGGATTTGGCATGATAACCATCATTGACGATCCTTTGACGGAAGGGCCGGAAATAAGCTCCAAAATGGTGGGAAGAGCACAAGGGCTCTATGCCATGGCATCGCAAGAAGAAATCGGCGCAATGATGTCCATGAACTTCGCTTTCACTGAAGGGAAATATAATGGCAGCACCATAACTGTGGTAGGGCGGAACTCGGTGAACTCGAAGGTGAGGGAGATGCCTGTGATCGGCGGCAGTGGAATGTTCCGATTTGCTAGGGGTTATGTTGAGGCAAGAACTCACACATTTGATAAAAATACAGGGGATGCCATTGTTGAGTACACTTGTTACGTTCTGCATCATTGATTATTTTTGCATTTTATTTATTTATTTTTTAAAAAGAAGGGCTATTCTATTTAGGTAGAGATTACCTTCTATTCTCTTGGCCACGTGTGATTAATTATTATTAACTAAATATGAATGAAACATTCGAATTTAAGTAAAATTAGAATAATGTAACTTGTACATCTTGTCAAATTATTAGCAGTAATAGGCTAATAATTGTTAAAAATACTGTTGTATTTGAACTCTACCAATCAGCTCGATAAACTGCACGTTTTATTGAGAGAGGTAAAATATTCACTATATTTAAAGATTAAATTTTTTATTATTAATCATTAATAAAACTAACTTATTAACCATTATTTTTGTAAAAAAAAATTT